ATCCTCTTGAAGATGCATAAGTAAAGTACAGTTTCCCCTTGAAATGTGCCATTTCAATAACTCCCAACGGTTATAATTGGAATTATATGCACAGATTGAGAGGAAAGTAGAGCAGTATACTAATTTTCTCTTGAGTATTGTGATTTCTTGCTCTAATTTTGTTCCACATATTAATTTCATTTATCTTCTACAAAAAGCACCTTTGACTACCTCACATATTCTCTCCTTGCTAATCTCCCTCCCTTGGGCTACTTCTAATATTCCAAATTTTGGAATTGATTCAAAAAGCTGACTTAATCTGAATACAGCACTGAAACTGTGTTGATTGTATTGGTATCTATTTATGAATAATGTGAGACATGGCACTAAAAGCTGTCTTGAATGTTACTTCAGGAAGCACAGAGAGGCAGGCAGAGTTTCTGATGTTTGTACTTTAAATGTGTCATTCCTCCTCTTCCTCTGGGAACACCGTGAGGACTTTGTATTCTGGGGATGATACGGAGGTGATCTGTCACAGCACCACTTTATCCTGTGTCTGTGCAGGATGGGGATGGCAGTTTAACAACTGCATCTGGCTGGTCTCTGCTTCTTATGCCAGAGGCTGAAGAGAACCCTAGTTGCCCTGAAAGATGAAATGCATAAAGAGTCTGCACCCACATCCATTACCATGGCAATGTTCCTATGCTCCACATGGAAACAGCATTTCTGAATCAAACCATAGTCCCATACTGACAGAGTTTGGTCTTTCAATTACTTGGTTTTGAAGACTGGTTGGTCCTTCTTATAAGTGAATTTGATTGCTATGTTTAATGACTTTCCTAAGAAGTGATTTTGGGTATTTTCTGTTTGTCTTCCTTTCGATTTATGTTTGGTTCTGGGGGAGGCCACCACCACTCTTTTCAGTCCATGGGTTGCCCTGCAGGGAAATGCCCTCTATGTTAAATTATTTAGCTTTATGTTTCATTGGAGTTTACTGGTATTATTTAGTACTAGGTCATGAATGTTGCACAGGTTAGAGTGCAGACTAAGATGCACATGAGGTCTTTCCAGCTAAAGACCTCTTGGGATAAGAGATATATAATGGATAGGTTAGATGAAGCATTTGAAAGATGTAGCTTCTGCCATTGCCCCAGATTCACTCTAGGGCCACCTCCACTCTTGTTATGTAGCAGAAACAACACCTACGGTTTGGGTGTATTTGCCCAGTTTGATGCTTCTCTGCGAGCTACTTTCCTTTTAGCTGGGTCTCTGTTCACTACCTAAAAGATTGTGGAACCTCAAGCTGATAAATAGCACAGGAAACGTATCTGGAAATACTTTCTGGTAGACATAAGACTGAATGTTTCTTTCAGATTTGAATCTTGATCCTGTGATCTGTATGTTAGTGGGACCATGAGGTGACAACTGTAGCATGTTGTACATGAGACATTAGTTATTAAATGTTAAATCCATTCACAAGGTAAAATTGGTACAGCATGCACATTGCCATGTGCCTGAAGGACTGTTTCCTTGCTCTCAACTATAAATGTCCTACGGCACCAAAATTAGGTGCAAAGTGAATCTGTTTGGGTTTAGTATTTAAACCTGAAGAGTTATTTTATGATTTGAGTGGGGAATAGAATTTACCTCACTGATACTTTACCTTGAAAAAGTACTTGGTCTCCAACCTTCCAGGTTGATTTGATGCTTGTTTAACTTTGTGAGGTATTTGTTCATCATTCTAGATTAGTTTAGGATAGCATCAGGCAGCTCTTTGTGATCTCAACAGAATAAGATTTCATTGCACAGGCAACTGTGTTATATCTGAATTCTGATTTAGTGCCAGAGCCATTTGCAAGAAAACAATTTTCTAAATATTACCAAAAACTATGCAAACTAGTACTGACAGATGGCTGTAAGATAGACATTAAAATGGTCCACTTTAACAGTTTATATTGGATTTGATTGCTGTTGTTGTGTTTAGATTAATAAAAGGAAAGCAAATGACAAAATTCATGCATTTTGAAATGTAGACAATACTGGTGCATAATGAAATCAAACATACATTATATACGCTATTACTACATGTCGATCTTTGTTACAAAGTGAACTCTAGACTGATACTGAGGAAATAAATACAAGTTAAAACATTCCTAGGCAAATACCTTGATCTCATATAGCAACATCATGATGCAGCTGGCTCTCTGTCTTTTCCTACTGCCCCCCAAAAAGTCAACATCACTGCCTTAAAACTCCAGAGTTTTTATTCTGCTTTGTTCTTTCCATTTACTCTTGAGGCAATCATGGTCATAGCTTATTTTCTGTTATTTTCAGCAGAAGGGCAACTGTCTTCCATTAAATCTGAAAGCAAAAATACATCTCACTTAGAGCAGTAGAAGGAAAATTACATATAATGGAACCTCTTCTTCTCACTGAGATTATGATACAGCAACTGCAAACTATGAATTCATGAGTTCCAGAATTGTTAATTATGAAAAAATAAGGTGTCTTCATTTCTTCTACTGTTATAACTTACAGCAACTGCAAACTATGAATTCATGAGTTCCAGAATTGTTAATTATGAAAAAATAAGGTGTCTTCATTTCTTCTACTGTTATAACTTACAGATTCCATTATGAATTATTGATGCAATTTGATGATTATTGATGCAAATTATTACTAGGATATTAATACTATATTCTTAAGTAGATTTTTGAATGTTTTTTTTTTTTTTCTTATAAATTAATTCTGCAGTACTATAACTATGTTTCCAAGAAAAATTAGTCAAATAAGGAAAGAGCAGTTGTTTGGTTTTGAGAAATATTTTTCTTTCAAAAAAATTATTCAACAATCAAGAATAGTAGAAACTGTATAATTGAAATAACTAAGGTTGTAATACAGTGACCAGAAAGTCTCTATCAACAAGTCAGAGGGGAAAAGATATACATATGAATAGCTTTTATGTTGTTATTTAATATACTTCTCCCAGGTTGACCTACACTTCATGAAAAAGATACCACCTGGAGCTGAAGCATCAAACATCTTAGTTGGTGAACTAGAGTTCCTGGACCGTGCGGTTGTTGCTTTTGTTAGGTTATCTCCTGCAGTGCTACTTACGGGGCTAGCGGAAGTTCCAATTCCAACAAGGTACAGTTGGATTTATTTCTTTTCATGTTTTTTGAGTACCTTGTGGAGACAGGGTGGTGTGACCTTCAACTTTGTCATTTACTGAGTCATGAATTTTGTTCTTTCTTTAACAAAGACATCTCTTAGAGAAATCATTCCAGTCATCCTTTAAATGGTGTATAGGTATATTCAGAAACATGCCATTTCTGTGTGCAGATAATCCTTCTTAGCAGAAGTAGAAATGATAGCTGGTTAGATTACAGCTCACAGTTTATCCTGTACAAACTGGTAATACTGCAGATGAAATACTAAGGTGTAATACTCAGCTTAGAATATTTCATCTGGAACTGAAACTACTGCATAATTATGTCCAGAAGAAAAAAAATGAAGGAGGAATTAAGTAAAAGGAAAAAAACCAACTGTGTGATTTGATTGACTAGGGATAGTGAATGGATGAAGAACGTACCATAAATATCATGTTCCTCTAACAGTTACTTTGTAGCTACTTGTGTGGTAGTGAATGTGACTTTTTACCATATATTTTTATTAGATTAGTTTTTTCTAACTTGAAACTTTTTCTGAAGACGTACTTAGGTTCTGAGAACAAATTATTAGGAATTTATAAAAAAATGTCTAAGGGAGACTTTCCAGTCAAATAGAAAGCATTTAAATAGATCTGCAGATATGTTGTTTCCTGCTGGGATTGATTCAGATCAAAACTCCAAAGTGATTTTCCCATATCTGAGTTGACTGATTTAACCATTATTGCAGTTCCTCACCTTTTTTTTTTGTATTTGTAGACATGTCTGTACACATATTCTGTCCCTCTTTCCCCTTCCCTCTTTTAGTTTATATAAAAGTAGAGTTCAGACAGGAGTCAGTAATGTATTCCAGTTGTTTGTGACACTTAGGAAGGAATGCTATGCTATGAAATGCAATGCTGAGACTCAGCTCCTTGCTCCTAGTCAGATAAACAGTATCAAATTTTAAGTTATAGTTACTTTGTAGGTACTGCAGATATGACTTTTTTCTTTTGTCTTTTTTGATTTTTTGTGTGCATATAAGGAACATTGAGGGACTGAGCTGGCTTTGAAAAAAAAACTTCTGAAGCCTTTCCTCATAATCTCCCACCCCAAAAATGAACAAAAGAAACCAACAGATTTTTTTATTTTTGGCCAAAAGAAAATTAAGAATATCTGTAAAAATGTTTATTTAAATAAAAATCTAATAACGTTAGTCAAAAAATTCTTTTGCATTTTAGCAAAACTGAGAACTTCAATTATTTCACTTGAACCTATGCTCTGCATTTTATAGAGCCTTACTAGCCCCAAGCCTAGAGTAAAGGCTGTCTAGAGCCTTAATGGGAGTAAGAATGATTTAAAAATTATTTTTATTTGGCGTAATTTAACTTCCCCATACTGCAATAATACTACTGCCATAAAATGAAATAAAGTAATGCTAATGTGTTCTGTACATAGATTATAATTGCATATATTTATTATGTAAGATAAAGTTTGTTATGTAAGGAGGTTTTGATAGTCTCAATCAAATCTGACTGTGAAGCTTATGATATATTTTTGGAAGTTATTTTCACATTTTTTTTTCTAACCAGAGCTTCATGTTTAAATGCATATATGAGGATCTTGAAGGAGATTATATATAATATCTGTTTTAGAGGTTCTTCTAGTCCAATTTTTAAATAAGTATTTCTGTAGTATGTATAGTTACTTTCAACCATCTATCCTTTACAGTCTTTTAGTTTATCTTTTATTTGCAGATTTTTGTTTATTCTTCTTGGACCACTGGGTAAAGGGCAACAATACCATGAGATTGGAAGATCAATTGCAACACTAATGACAGATGAGGTATTTTTATTCATGGCTTAGTTTTAGTCATTTTGTACTGACTGAAGAGGTGTAATAGGGAATCTCCATTGTGGAATTGTCCAGATGAAATGGGGCTAACCATTCTGATGATGCACAAATACCATTCTAGTTTGTTTCATTATCCTTTAATAGCCCAGATTATGATGCTCTAAGGAGATAACAAAATGAGAAACAATATTCACAAACAAGTATATCTTTACTGAGAAGATTCCATTTTACACAGTTACTTTCCAGTGGAATTAATTGTATTTTAAACTGTAAAATCTCTAGAACATTTAGCACCCCTAAGGATGTTTTTCCATAGCAGCTGCAGCTTCTATAAAAACTATGTACCAGAAACTCTAGTCAGCTGAAGCTGAGATTGTTTGTTTTGTGGGAACTGCATGAAGTGCGTTCTATTTCAGAGAAAAGGGATTGTCATGAAAAATGTTACGAGAGTATTCCTTTCCCTTTTCCATAGGTGTTCCATGATGTTGCTTACAAAGCAAAAGACCGCAATGACTTGGTGTCTGGAATTGATGAGTTTCTTGATCAGGTTACTGTTCTCCCTCCTGGAGAGTGGGACCCAACAATTCGAATAGAACCACCTAAAAATGTTCCATCTCAGGTTTGTACACGGTAAAATTCAGACACTTTTAAACATTGTGATGAATTTTTGTTAGGTAGATTTAAGTCTCATTGATTTAGCATTTAGCAGAGGTACTTTATAGAAATTTTGCATGTTCTTTTTTTTTTTTTTTTTTTTTTTTTTGGTTAATTTGCTTTAAGAGAACCCATGTCTTGCAATCATACAGTATAATGATGACATTTTGTGTAGTTCAATACTAGTTCTCTCCTGAATAAAGACATATAATTTTATCTAAAGATCTTAAATTCAGGGGTAATTGGTCATAAGCATCTTTGATTATTCTGAACAGCCACAGTCTGCTTTTGTTCTAAGCTTATTGCAAGAACTGATCAAAGCAGCCTAGCTTTCTACTCTTTAAAATGTTTTCTGATACAAGGTTTTCTGTGATCAGTTTTTAAAATTTCTTAGACTACAATTCCTTCTACTGTTTCCTGTTATAGAACTCCTCTACTGTTTGTGAAGAGGTTATGTTGCTGAATCTTACAATAAAATTTACATATTTAGTCTTTCAGCTCTCAAATCCTCTTTCCTCTGCTAAAATTATGTTTTTGTTGCTAAGACCCATGAGAAGTATCTTTTCCTTTTGGTAGGAGAAGCGTAAGATCCCAGGAGTGCCAAATGGAACCGCAGCACACGGGGACACAGAGCAACCTGGAGGACACTCTGGACCAGAACTGCAACGCACTGGAAAGTTAGTGAAAACTAAGTTCTAAGTTATGTTCTAAGTGATACATTTCCAAAGGAATCATAATGGTCTGGTTCTCTCTCAGATGACTGGCTTGGCATATTATTTTTTTCAGGCATTTTTCCTGATTTGCATACCACATAGTTGAAAAGGACAATACATGTAATTTGCAGAGAGGGGGAGAGGGCAAGAGGATTCCAGTTTTCACATTGTATTTATTACAGGCTCCTTTATTATTTATAAAGGTCAGACCTCTGTTAAACTTCATTAATGTTTCTTATTTTTGTACAGCAGGAAGGAAAAGTTGGGAATAGTCTTGTACCATATATTGTGAATGCTAACAACTATTTTGTAATTGAAGCTTCTGGATTGTACAGCTCTAGCATTTCTTTTTTACCTTGGTAAGCCATGATATGTCCTGGTACATGAGGCTATGATTACCATGGTGGCTGCAATATACACACATCAGAAGGAAGAATTTGTCCCAAGGAGTAATTATGTTCTCTCATCTAATATGGTGTAGAGTAAGTCAGCTGTCAGTGGTTGCCTTAGTGCAATGTGTTGTGCGATAGACTTTTCTTTTACCCGGCTGCCTTGTGATATTGAAATATCATTCCTGCCTGCATAAGGCTAAAGAGTCAGCTGCACTGCTGGTGTACACGGTGGGACAGTGGAGATGGTGGCCAGTCCGGCTGTGAGCTGTTCTTTCACTGGTGAACCTGGTAATTGATGGCTCGAAGGATCATTCTGATATTTAGGACATGGTGGCACTTTGTCTTCCTCTTTACTCCAGCAACATCTGATACATCAGGTGCCTGTGAGAAAAAGAGCATTGTGGGGATATTTACTTTAACTGTATGGTATACTGTAAGGGAGCATCTGTTCCTAAATATTTGATTATGTTTAGCATAGTGTAAATGACAAAAAATGACAGTTCTTATCCTTGGAAAATTGTGGCCTACATTCAATTCTATCATCAAGTGTATTTAGGAACAGGTTCTCAAATAAAGAATGTGAAGCTCTGTATGTAGATGTGTGGGCAAATGGGCACTGTGGTAGCGCTCTGATTAAACAAATGCAAAGAAGTATTTCACATCATAAATAATAGGGTTTTGTGTGTGGGAGTTAACAACTGTTCAGAAGTTTTGGGTCTGGATGATTAGATGAAGATTTATAAAAGAAATATGCAAATTAGTTTGTTTTAAAAACATAATTTTCCGATTAAAGTTATCAAGACGAGGTTCCCAGAAAGTTTTTTTCTGGGAATGATGAATTATAAGAGTATGTATCATTTGATCAATGAACAGTAACTTCTCTGCAGTATATTTCAATCAATATTGTGGAAGAAAGTTTTATCTGCCTTTTTCATTAATTCGATCTCTTCTTTTTTTTTTTTTTTTTTTTTTTTTTTTTAGATTTTTTGGAGGATTGATTTTAGATATAAAAAGAAAAGCTCCCTTCTTCTGGAGTGACTTCAGGGATGCTCTCAGTCTGCAGTGTCTGGCATCATTTTTGTTTCTCTACTGTGCTTGCATGTCTCCTGTCATCACATTTGGTGGTCTGCTGGGAGAAGCAACTGAAGGTCGTATAGTATGTGTTAAATCTGAACTTTTAAAATGAACTTACATTCCTAGATTTGTGGTTAGTATTTTCTTACTGTTGCATGAATGACCTTTAAATATTGGTATTTCAGTGTTTAGAAGGCTACAGACTGAGACATTGCAAAAAGAACCTGTTTGAAAATTTATGGACACTTCTCTTTGTATCATATTCAGAGTGCAATAGAATCGCTGTTTGGAGCATCCATGACTGGAATTGCCTACTCTCTCTTTGGTGGCCAGCCTCTCACTATACTTGGCAGCACAGGACCAGTTTTAGTGTTTGAGAAGATCTTATTCAAATTTTGCAAGTAAGTGAAGATCATGATACGCAGCATCCCTCGGGTGTTGTTAGGTAAAAGCAGAGACACTGATCCCAAAGTTCCAACATCTGCAAAATAAGATCAAGAGTTTGTTTTGGAGTGCACTGCTTAGGCTTCCAGAGTCTGAAAATTATGCAGTGACTGAGAAAAGTGAATTGGTGGTAATGCAGAAAGATTGATGGCTTTTTTTTTGTTGTTGTTTGGTTTTTTTTTTTTTTTTTTTTTTTTTTTTTTTTTTTTTAAAAAACCACAACTGTTTTAAAGGGAATGCAAGCTTCAGGATGTTGTGGGTTTGATTTTTTTTTTTTTGTGTGTGTGTTGTTTGTTAGTTTGTATTATTATATCATTTTCTACTCTGAAACAATACATTTAAATCTGTGGTGTATCTCATCCCTAACTCATCCAAAAGGTGTTACCTCTCACCCAGTAAGTAAGAGGAGTGGAAGTGGTGCCATCTTTCACCAGTCACTAATATAGACCCTGCCCTTCCACCACCCCAACAAAGAAGCGGTGAAGCGTCATGCCAGAACAGCTTATCCCCATGTTTATATTAATGTGATATACATGACATACCTCTGCCACAGTGTGGGCAAAACTTATGTCTGCATCTTGGCAACCATCATGCTTCTCTGCCATCCTCTCTGCTTTTCTGCCTTGTTGCTGTGATGAGGACTTCTGCACCAAGATCTCTTAAACGTCCTGAGCAACATAGAGTAGGAGATCCTGCTTAGCACCCCAAAAGCTCTTTTATCACCTTCAGGTAGACCTTTTAGTTTTCTGTGATAAATGTCACTCAACATGCTTAGAGCAATATTATCATCTGCAGTAAGCATACAGAATTTTGATGAAAGTTGCTGTTGTAGCTACTCTTGCAGTTTAAGAAGAAATTGGTTGGTATTGGTTGTTCATAAGACATGATATGGGATAAAAAGTAGGTGGACATTATACACTTCATGTGTTTAACTACTCTCAAAGCAGCTTTCTCACTCTAGTAGAGATAGAGTTTTTTGTGTCCTGTTAATTGGGAGGAGAGCTCAGGCCAGGAGGTAACCTGACAGTATTTTCAGTTCACAATAGGTAAATTCAGATTCAGTCTGTCTCCAGTGTTGCACATCCCTAGGAAAAGAAAATTTTGGAGTTGCCTCTTCTCCATTTACTATGGCTGGAAAAAAGGTTAACTGTGTTTCATTTTTTTTTCTTTTTTTTTAGGGAATATGGGTTGTCATACCTCTCTCTGAGAGCTAGCATTGGACTGTGGACTGCAATCCTGTGCATCATCCTTGTTGCAACTGATGCAAGCTCCCTAGTCTGCTACATTACCCGCTTTACTGAAGAAGCTTTTGCTTCTCTTATCTGCATCATTTTCATTTATGAGGCCTTAGAGAAGCTGTTTCATCTCAGTGAAACATATCCAATCAATATGCATAATGATTTGGATCTGCTGACAAAGTACTCGTAAGTAAGATTTCTTCTGTTAGCATTGTTTTTGGTTTTTTTTTCATAGTTTGTATTCTCTGTGAGGAATGCAAACCAGTGCACAGCAGGAAAAATTTGTAGCAGTTGCAAACTTAATGAGTGGAAGTTATTGAGTTAGGCAAGATGCCTCCGTATGGAAGTAGTAGTTACTGGAGGTATGTGTATAAGCAGTACACATTTACTTAAGGTAAGTAAAAAACATCTTGACTTGGAGTTTGGAAAAGCTTACACACATGCAACTTGGAAGTCCTAGAATAAAAAAAAATAGGACTAGGAGGGACCTCAGCTTTAGGCCTCTATTCACATTTTTATTTAATAAGGTGTAACTCAATGATCTCTTACTATAGCCTTGTACTGATGATTTCTAATATTCTTACTGTGTGTTCAGACAACATTTTTAGATCATATTTATCTGTTATTTTTTTTTCCAAATTGAAATATTGACTTATCTAAAAAAGATATAATTTGATATACCTCCTTTATTTTAACCTCTCTGGCAGTTAAAGTTCAAGCTCCAAGAACTGAGGTGGATTTAGAATTGTTAGGTGCTTCTCAGCAGTGATTGATTTTGTCAGAATCAATTTGTTCTTAATAATGAGATTTTTAATATGACTCTATTTAAGCAGCTTTACTTCATCTTGGAGTTTTAAGAGGTAGTATTCTACTCATGGAATAGAAAAGCAAATAGCTTTAATCAATATAAGTTCATTTAGAAGTAAAAACTTGTACACTTGTTTCTGTGATATGAGAACAGTAGTAGTGTTCTTGTAAAAGAAAAGATCCTAGTCTGTCCTAAGGCCAGTTAAGCCTGGTCACCTCAGCAGCTAAAATGTCATTAAAAAGCATTTTCAGAGAGGATCCCTGTCCAGAAATGTCTTTATTATTTCACTGAACCCATCTGAACCCTCTGCATGATCAGGGTGGGGCCCAAAAGGAACAATGCTTGAACAGTGCCACATCTTCTACTCCCTGGAGAAACAGGAGTGTTTCAACCAAATGTCTCATTTGCATTTTAAGCTAGGAAAAACAAAGCACAGCAACAGTGGAAACATTTGAGCTTTGTATATGTTATCACTAAAAAAACAGTTAGCAAATCCTGAATCTGAATACACATTATATATCTTAATACACAGAATAAGTTAAATTATAGAAACTATAGTTCTACTGTGACATATTCTCCCATCATGCTGGAAAAAAACACTGTGTCTTTCTAATAGTTTAATCAGTAGGCAAAGGTATATTAATTTGAAAAGAAAGCAGTAAACATCAAGAGTAGACTGTGCATGCGGTTAAGGATATATCCTGGTCTTATTTAACTTCACTCAACTTCTATGAAGTTGGTATTTTGCCCTAAAGAGCCTCTTATAGCATAGTGTTTGTGGATATTTTTTTTTCCTTTACCACTTCAAAGTAGTCATGTCAAAAGGAAAAAGAATATGATGTTCTCATACAGTTTTGAAAAACAGATGTTGAAATACTATAAAAGACAGAAAAATATTCAGAAACCATTTAGCAGGCGGAGCTGAGATGTTAAAATATGTAATGAAAAGCATAAAGACAAATAGAAATACGAATTCCTGGGGAGTTAGCTTTATTCATGGTTAGCTGAACCCTGTGATATTGCTTGAGATTTCAGAGAAATAAGTTTAACAGTCTTGCTTGTACAGGGGCACAGTGATAGATATCTCTATACTTTATGAAAGTGGTTTGTTATCGTAGTCCTTATGTTTACAAATAAATGTTTCTGGTTTTATTTAAAATTCCATTCATTAATCAGAATCCCAAATTGATTTATAAAGGGTGTTGCTTACTCCCTGCCTGTCCTTCGTAACTGTCTTCATTGAATGTAGAAAGTGTAGAGCGCACAGGATGGTAAAAGAGCAGCAGTTGTCATCCTCCAGTTACAGCTATTGCCCTGTACTGTCCTACAGTGTTGGGATAGCAGCACAACAGTTTTAGATTTTCCAGACACAATTCCTGAAGGACAAGTGTCTTCCAGATGTTTGGAAGAAAGATTTGACCGCTGCCTGGTGATTTCAAACACATATAACTATCAAAATTATTTGATATAATAGTTTTGTAGTTATTTACGGGATCAGAATTTCATACCTATATTCTCATTTATTCTTTCACTCTGTGTAGAGAGTACAAAGAAAGTGACTTTTAAACTCTTGCATTACATTTCTCTTTCAGCATTTATGTTGTAGCTTCTACTTGCAGCAATATCCTGATTATTGATATCATGTCTATGGCAACTGACCCCACTAATACCAAAATGACTAGCTGTAGATGTAGTTATAGGCAGCATAGCTCTTACGGGATGAGGCTTATATTTTTTTTAACCTCAAAACTGATTGTTGGAAATGCTACTATGCATATTGATTATCTTGTAAGAGCACATCTGCCAATTCCAAGGATCTGTGCTCTGAACACAGCAGAGCTGTAAATCCAGCCTCTTATCTTCTGTCCCCTCCCTTCTCCTTCATCTGAATTTTTCTTAGTTCTTCAGAACTGGCCCTGACAGGTTAGGAGGATGGAAAGTGTTGGAGCAACTCTACATCAGCTGCCCAAATGACTAGTGCTTTCACAGCAGGGTTGGTGCAGCCAGAACTCCATGGGTTTGCTGTGCAGATATGCACATATTACTCTGTCCAGATACAGTGGCCGTTTGCCCAGAACATGAAGGTATCACAGTTATCATCTTCATGGGATCATCACAAGACAAGACATTTCAAATAACCCTTAGTCCCTGCTCATGTGTGTATGTCTCATTTCCAGAAAGATCAAAAACTGGAATACAAATAAGCGTAAAAGCTTACTTGAAAAAAAAAAAAAATCTCATTTTTGTGTACTTAAAGTTGGAGAATATTGCTTTCACAAGGAATTAGAAGCTTTTTCTGCAGCATCTGACTGCAGTCCTACTTGTAGTTTAAATGGGTAACAAACTTGGGCTGAAACTGGTCCTGTCCTTAAAGGACCAGCATACTCTGTTACAGAAGCTAATTAGTATCTGCTGTTTTGCTAATTAAAACAGCTGTTTGCATTTCCCTCTTTGGGGATTTTAAAGACAAGTTTTTAATTGTTAGTAAAGCCTTGGCAGTTCTTAATTAGCAATGGGTGAACTTCAAAAGGTTGAGCAACTCATTTCTCTGTGAATGCTCAGCCAAAGCTTATGCAAAACTTTATCCTGGATCTGCAATTCTATGCTAGAAAAATCAGGTTATACTGTAAAATTTTTGTGATTTTTATATTCTGCCTCTTACTCAAAAAGTTGATGATAAATAGGTCAGGACAATGTATATATTTCAAGCTTTCAGTGTATGCTGTGGCCCAGCCCTACTCTCTTCTCCCATGGGCTTTCTGAGTATTCTCTGATGTCCACAGGTAGTCCATCTACATCCCAGTGCTGTTGCCTTTGCCCTGGTGAAGATGTGAGTTTGACCCAGGAAAAGTCATTGGCATGCTGTTAGTACTGTCCTTTGGCGTACTCGAAAGACAAAGAAATTAGTAATATAAAATGGTTGGTATTTCAACCAGATTGGAACCATATTTCAAGTGAGAAAGAAAACCCATTCTGCATTTTGGGTGGGTTTGAATTCTGTCATAAACAGTCTCTGTTGCAGGAGTTTGATGTAAAAGACTGTACTGCATGCATCTCCTGTTATATTTAAGAGTATAGGAGACATTACTAGTATCTGACATAACAAACCTTAGAAGACTATAGAAAGAACATTCAGAACAGTTGGGATTTTTTTTTTGTTGTTTAAATCAAGCAGACCCAGATATTTGAAAATCAGCCAAAAGTCCTCCTAAAACATTTCCTAAAAATTCATATTTACCTTTTTAACATTTTAGGTAGAAGACATGTATTTGAGTTTGTTGCAGAATTCTATCTCAAAAAGACAAAAATATCTTTTGTTGCATGATCTAATTAATGTAGAACTAATCCTAATGCACTTTTTAACTTGTTTTCTTTATTATACTTGCTTGTTACTCCGTGTTGAAGCGTTGGACCTAATCATCAGGTGATCTACTTGCAGACAAATCCACTCAGCATTCACTTTTAAAACACCATCTTTATGATATGGATGATAAAGAATAAGGCATTAAAAAGCTGAATCAAAAGAAGGACAAAGACAACCTGATTTTCAGTGTGCTACTCTGCTGCATTTTTTTTCTTTCTAAACTGCATTGTTTTGAAGGAATGTAAATACAGTAGCTGCATTGTTTATCAAATAAAATGCACATACTTTTTAATCTGGGCTTTTCTTTCTTTCTTTCTTTCCTTTTTTTTTTTTTTTTTTCTTTTTTTCTTTTACTGTGACCTTTTTGTATTTGTCATGCCATTAACATTTGTAGGTTGGCATAGCAACTCTTTTATTTCTGCACTCTCCTCCTCCTGCTTTTTCATACTCCTGTAGCAAATATATCTCCAGTTTAATTCTGTCTGGAACACTGATGCACATCAGTTTTAATGTGTATTAAATATTAGCATATAATTTTTGCTAGGAAAGGAGAACCCTACAACAGGGTGGATTAAAACCAAAGATTCTCAAAAGGAAAACAAAATAAGCATTGTGGATGAAAGGAACGTGATTTAGAAAGCAGTCCAGTATTTTTTAAAATACAAACGTTTTAAGATAGTTATCTTAGAATCCAGAAGATCAGTTATTTCTCAGTGTGAGGTTGCTTAGATCTTGGGACTTTATATACCTTTGTTTTTTTATTAACTATTTTTTCAGAGTGATGAATTCATGTTGTTTTTAATAATTCTTTACCAGAAGTTACTCAATTATTAACAGATTACATTGAATAATTTTAAAGTGATTTCTTGGCATAGTAATATGCATATTGCAATCTGTCTTGGTATTGACATGCACTTAAGCATTAGGAGTAGAAAATCCCACTCTGAAGTAATTAAGGAGCCAAGATCATGTCAATCTCAGTATCTTTTGCAAGCTACAGGAACCATTGCTTCT